CCAATGAGCTGTAATGAAAGAGGAGAAAAGGAAGCCATCTCCTCCAGTTGAGAGCCCAGCCTGGCAGTTAAAGCATGGTGCTCATGGTTCATGTCTCTGAGAGATGAGCGGATGACTACGTTACTACTTTCTTCACCCTTTTGAAGCCTTGCATTGGCAAAACCATAGTGATATCTATTTCAAAGTCACAGTGAAAACAGGTTGGGAGTGCTATCCCAGAATGCTGTTTCTGTTTTGCTTGCCTTTTTTTTTTTTTTTTTTACTGTCACTTACCAATAAAACAGGCAGGGACTAGCCAGATGCAAATGGGTTTTGGTAGCTCTGTCTCACTGTTTTGCACAATCAGTGTAAGTGTTAGCCCAAATGCATCTCACAACCACTTGAAAGTACATACATGCCTGCTTGGCATGTAACTTACAGTTCAGTAGCAAATCTCCCGTGAGAATCCCCTGCATTGCCAGCTGTCATTCCCAATAGTTTGCCAATAAGTAAAGATGGGAAGGACAAGTTCAAAATGGCAGAAACCACAAGTATTATTGCATTAATACTGCTTATGTAAGATTTTCTTTTTTTAACTCTGAAGGGTCTAGCACATCTTAGTGAAAGGGTATTCTTTACAAAGTGTCACTTGTTAGAAGGAAGACACTTCCATCAACAAACAATGAAACAATGAAAGCGTATCTCAAATATTATTTATCCCTGTAAGTTCTGAAAGAGAAGAATAACAGCATATTCCACTTTGGCTACAAAGTGCTAATTAATAACTAACTTCAGTTTTCCCAGAGGTAAAATATTAATGTTTTTTTACATGGAATTAAGCATCACAATCTTCTTCCTCTTCTAATTATTATAAAAATATTTAACAGCATTATCTGTTTAATTATTAAGGCATCTCTTAATGGTGTAAATATTATCTGCACAGTCATGAATATTTCTACTTTGTCCACAGACAATTGGTTAAGGATCTGTTGCTTGTATGGCTTAAATTAAGACCTATTTAAGGTTGCCTGCTGGCTACAAAATAATTACTTATTCTTGATAATGCCTGAATCTGTTGGATTTAGCAGCAAGAAGTGTTCTTTGTTTTCACAAGTAGGGAGAAGTTATTTTTCTTATATAAATTTCATTGTTGATGATATTAGAGAGGATTAAGGTAGTTGAAGTAGTTGAAAATTTAATTAATCTAATCCCTTTGACAGTAATTGTTTTTTATTGATACTTCTCTATAACAACAGTATTATAGATCACACGCCAGTGAAATATTTACACTAAATATTTTTGCATAAAATCTCTCTTCCAGCTTTCTCTTTCTAGAATGGTAACGTTTTTGGCTTCTTTGGCTTTTCTTTCTTTTCTTTTTTTCTTTTCTTTCTCTCCTACCTAAAATGCAAGGTTTCTGCTTAGGGGACTAGAATAAAATCTGTTTGTTTGGTTTTTTCCTGCTAATTTTCTCCCAATGTCATTGTCTCTCAGTAAATTATGTTCATGGCTATCAAATCATTAATCTAAAGAGCATGAGTACTATGAAATAAGAACGGTTCAATTGATTTTTTTTTCTTTTGGTATCTACTGTCATTTGGTATAGATTCTCATTTGAAATGATTTGTTTACTCATCAATTTCAATAAGTTGTTATGTGGCTGAAATTATCACTAAGAGTAGAGAGATAGATGAAGGACGAAACTGTCATTCTGGTCAACCTCTGATCATCTCCGCTGCAAATTGGGAATTGTTCTTAATCTGCTCAAATGTCACATTATTGAGGAGAGACTTTCTCTGACCTCCCAATATAAAATTACAATTAGCATTCCTTCTCCAACATGATTCTTCCCTTTATCTAATAGGTTTTGTGTTTCTACATAGCAGTTATCAGCATGTAACATTATAAAACATTATATATTTGTTTACTTAGGGCATATCCTCCAGCTAAGATGGGTGCTCTGCTGAAAGCAAGGACTTAAATTTGTTTACTCCTGTATCTTGAGAGCCAAGACAAGTGCCTTATATATAGTGATATAGTAGGCAATCGATGTATCATTATTGAATACGTGAAGCTTTTCTCTCATTTTTCAGGTGCCTAAAGCACCAGATCAGTGCAAAGCAATAAAAGTGCATCCTTGTCCCGGCATGCATTTTGATGGCTGACAACTTGATGTAAATGTAAGCATTTATCCTGAGTTGGCTGTCCTGCAGAGCCGCAGTGGAAGTGTCCCTGTGGTACAAAAACAGAAACTGAGTGCTTTACGTGGGCATGTCTTCATAAAGGACTAAAGCTTTGGTATAGATGCTGTTTGGCATCCCCATGTTTACAATTTTAAGAGTGATATAGAGCAGAGAATCTCAAAGGATGCTCTATAGTACACTAGCTATGTGCTATATAAATAGGGGTTACTAAAAAAAAAGAGGCTCCATGGTCAGAAGCTTCTGAAACAAGGTATTGTATGAAGCTGAGGAAGGTTCTTCACGTCATGGCATCTCAAATATATGATAAAGCTCATTAGAGCTCTCTAAGATGAGAGCATCTTAGACTGTGTTTCTCAAACTCACCTAATCTCAAAATCTTTCTCTCTACCAGCCAATTCTGTTCTAAGACAGGGTTACATCCTAGAGAACCCACTGACTCGGGAGTTGAACAGGCCATGGCAGGTCCTGGCTCTGCCCCTCACTCACTTTGTGTGGTGACCTTGGGCAAGTCACTTGACACTGCTTCATGTTTCCTCTTCTGTAAGGAAGGAATGAAAAGGATAGCCCAGGATAATGTACTTAAAGTGTCTGACCCAGAAGTGCTAAATAAATGGTGGTTATTGTCAACACCTTTTATTGAATGTACGAGTGAATGCAGTTTAGACAGATATCTCTAAGTATATTTTCTAAGACAGGTTTGCTAGTATTGACCTACTTCCAGAATCAGCCTGCTGTGCCTCCTTCTTTATCTCAGCACCCTATCCCCATCTGAGATGCTCTGTGCAAATATGCTGAAGTCGAAGAAATTCTATCTATCAACACGACTTACTACAAATGTCTGGTACCTCACTTGGTGTATCCCGCAGAGTTGGTACCCTTGACCTCAGATGAAGACGCTTTTGTCAGAAGGAAGGTGTTAGCATCCAAGTTAATGATTGTGCAGATGGCTACATGCTGATAGATTTTGAAGGGACCATACTTTTTCAGTAAATTTGAACGAAGGTGTGATTTGTGTAAATCTGACCCCTTCCAGTAAAATGTGCATTGACATATATTTAGAATTTATAAATCCTGACAGATTCCACAATATTTATAGCCCTCCATAAAAAGCCCTTGCCTGTTTGCAGAGCTTTGCATTTGGCTCTCTGGTATGCTTAAGAGAGTTTAAATAATAATAAATTTGGTGATTTATTCCACCTGGAACTGAAACTTATTTTCCCCTCTTGGCTCATTTTGAAGGGGATACTATAAATAGTCCCACAGACTCTGGGATCAGGAATAGGGAATTGAAATTTGAGAGAGAAATACAGAAACATTTCCATTATCACTGATGCCTTGAATGTATTTTTGAAACAGTTCTGTTCCTCAAATAATGTACCTTCTCTTCTTTCTCCTGCCCCATCTCAATTATACTTGAGTCCCCCAAACCTGTTGCCAGCTTTAGGATTCAGTTGCATTAATGGGGAAGAGAGAGTGAAAGTATTAGCTGACTAGGTAAGAGAAAGTGGCCTCCAGGGAGGCCAAAGCAATTCTCCAATGTTCATCTTACATTTCACAGGAGTCAGCCGGTAAATGAGCATCGATGTCTAAAGTGTAAATTCATTATTTGAGACCCAGCTCATGCGTCCTGCAGGGATGACGAAAAGCTCTCAATTCATGAAAAAGGAAATAAAAAATCAAATTATAATTAAAAGAGAAAGCCTAAAGATATTGTCAGAGGATCTATTCTTTCACCTATCCATGCTTTTAATTATCCACTGCAGGATTATAGAGAAACACGAATAGTTGATTCCAAATGACACCATTTGTTTTCTTAAACACAAAATAAACAAAAATTGGGGAGCAAGTTGTTTGTCATAGAATCTATTGATGAAAATGGAAGGCATTCATTTAGTGTAGCATAAATGGTGTTATCACTTGTGATCTGACAAGGAGACTGATTTCTAGTTTCTTGTTTGAATGGACTGTGAAGGGAAGTAGGCTTTGTGAGAGGGAAAATAATAATAGTGGCCAACATCCATGGACAGCTGACTATGGGTGGCACAAAGGGACACATCAAGTGCCCACGGTTCTTTGCAACGCCCTTCTAATTAAGTACTGGGTTTTCCTGTCCTGCTAAGTTGTAGTACACACCCGCTCCAAGTCTTTCCTGAGCAATCCCCTTGCCGGTAGCTAACGGGATGGCAGATGTTTGGATCAAGCCCCAGAGCCTGTAGTATACCACATTTTAATGATTTGTGGTGGACAAAGTAAATGCTTTCAAAGCAGGCTTTATGAAATGGGGACCCAGTTAAGTATGATGGATTTGAAGCAAACCAGAAAGAAGCTGGATGTTGCATTGGGGTATTGTTTCCCAAACAGGACACAGATACCTACGGTTCATTGCTAATTCTAAAGCTCTGCTTGAAAAATGACTTTTTAAAGAACTGCGCTCTTGAGGAACATCCTTGAGGCATGAAGGGATTTCCTTGCTTTTTCTAAAGCTTCCTTCTAAGAGACGCCGAGGTATTGAGATGTTAGCTGCTCAGTGTCTCCTTTGTGCTTCTGGGACCACATTATGGGTCCAACACATGGGGTAAATAAACTGTTTTCATTTCTTAAAGCTCATGGAAGGAAACAAGGCAAGCAAATTACCATATTGCTTCTTTTTAATGTTTTTTAAATAGGAGAATGCAGTTAGGGTGAATAAAAATGAATACTGCAGTTTTTATTTCCTTCTTTTCTTTCTGTCCTAGCCTCTGACTCAGCAACAGCAATATGGCAAGATGTGTGTAAAACCCATGTTTTGATGGACCCTCTTTTGTCCTTCTTCCACAGGGCAACCCCTACATGTGCAATAATGAGTGTGATGCAAGTACCCCCGAGTTGGCACATCCCCCGGAACTGATGTTCGATTTTGAAGGAAGACATCCCTCCACGTTTTGGCAGTCTGCTACTTGGAAGGACTTCCCCAAGCCTCTCCATGTTAACATCACTCTGTCTTGGAGCAAAACCATTGAGCTCACAGACAACATAGTGATCACCTTTGAATCGGGGCGTCCTGACCAAATGATCCTGGAGAAATCTCTTGACTATGGACGCACATGGCAGCCCTATCAGTATTATGCCACAGACTGCTTGGATGCTTTTCACATGGACCCTAAATCTGTGAGGGATTTATCACAGCATACGGTCTTAGAAATCATTTGCACTGAAGAGTACTCCACGGGGTATATGACAAATAGCAGAATAATCCACTTTGAAATCAAAGACAGGTTCGCGTTTTTTGCTGGACCATGGCTACGCAATATGGCTTCCCTCTACGGACAGCTGGATACAACCAAGAAACTCAGAGATTTCTTTACAGTCACAGACCTGAGGCTAAGGCTTTTGAGACCAGCCGTTGGGGAACTATTTGTAGATGAGCTACACTTGGCACGTTACTTTTATGCGATCTCAGACATAAAAGTGCACGGAAGGTAAGATAACTTCTCTGTCTGACTTGAATGAGAATGGGTGTGTTCAAAGAAAATGCCAGTGTGTCAGTCCAGCCAATGTACAGTGACATGTGTCACTTTCTCCTGCAACGTGTTCTCAGAAACACCAGCCTAGAGGTAGGTTCTCAGGCATTGGAGACATTTCTTACTCAGTAGTAATTTGTGATCCCAGACTTGCTGCCACTAAACCACAACCTGGCAGAATTTCTTGGAATTTAAACAAAATGGGGGGGAAAAGCATCTTAGAAAAGGTACTGAAAAACAAGAACTACATATTTCTGTTGTTTTCAAATACAAGAGAAGGTTTCAACAAGGTACAACTCTGTGTTTATGTTTTGTTATATTGCACAAAAGAAAGTTCTGGAAATGAAAGTTATATTTCTTTAAATGTATTAAGTCAGCACCAAAAGCAATTAGGAAACACAATGCATTTGTTAAAATGGGACAAGCAGTGTTTTTCAGAATTTTGGATGTTATTGTCTTTAAAAAATATGCTGCCATTTAAAATATGGACCTGTGTTAGGCTCCCTTCATTTTGGGGTCATTTATTGATGGACCAGTGTTTAAAAATTAATGGTCATGGCCAGGCATATCTTTTACTTCGATAATATATACCAGAGATACAGCTGAGCAATTTTCCAAAAGTTTTCAAGATATATAAATGAAAAACTTGAGTAATAAGAACCAGGACCACCAAAGTAGAGATTTTCTACCAGATTTTTAAGTGTGGTATGTTATAAAAACAACCAACCAACTGATGGCAGTGGAAGCATGAGGCAATGAGTTGGAAGAACTAAAGATGAGTGGACTTTGAAACAAAATGGGGAAAATGCAAAGCAAAGCAAAACAATAATCATTCTAAACACACCACGGTCACTTTAAATCAGAATATATGAAGATCAGAGTATAAATGGTATATAAATGATGTAGGTTTAATTAAGTGATCATACAAATTGAACAAATAAAGCTGGATTCATTAACTGGTAGCCAGCCTCCCTGAGGGCAGCCCTGTCTTCAGAAACTGGCGAAGTGTTGAGACTCCCTGGGCATTCAGAGAGCTGTCGCAACCTATCTTTGAGAATAGTGCTGTTACATCTGTGCACTAGACGGAAGAAGAGGTCACCACTGGTAAGAAAAGGGCCACAGTGGGCCCACAGAATGGTGTGGTGGGCATGGCCTCAGCACGGTGACAAAGGTTTCAGCATCTTGCCTGGGGAAAGTGCACGAATGGGTGGCTGGCCTCCAGCGACTCACAGGTTTGTTCTAGCTTCATGTTCCCTCCTGGAAGAGTCAAGAATCTTTAGTAATGAAGCCTCTTTAAAAACTTTTAATCAGCGTCTTTGTGATATATAATAATGATATTTTTAAGGCAAAATAGTATTTTAGAGGGAAATATGCACTGGCACAGTGTTGAGCTTGTGGGTTCCTGGGTACAGAGGACAGTTCAGGGTTTGGAGGGACCACGGGAGTGCAGCATGAAGCTGTTGCCTTGAACATGAGTTCGCTATTTATGATAAAATGTAGCCATTATATTCATGAATATTTTGGCAAAAGATGATCAGTTTCCAGTCTATTATTCTTGGGGACTATAATATATACAAATAATTGATGTTGATACTATTAACCATAGCATTCCACAACAAAGTAACAACTATTCTGTTTATCTACAAGAAAAAAAATGTCAAAATTAATAAGCTGTGATCTGCATTGTTAGGTAGGGTCCTCTAGGTCAGTTTCCTTGCAGTTTGAGAAATCCTTAAATCTAAGCCAAAATCCTTATAGTCCAGCTGCCCCAAACACTGTCACTTTCCACTTTCCAAACACTTACAAATCTTGTAAAGCTTTAGGTTGGGAAATAATCATTGTTGGGGCATTTTTTCTCTTATTGCATAACCATTGTTGTTTCCTCTGATTGTCTAAAAATGAGTGTGAATACACTTTAAAGCTACAGGCATTTTTACGCATTCTCGTTTGGGGTCAGACATAGGTATTATCTCTTCAATGGCATGTTAGAAATGTAAGGTCCCACCAGATTCACCAGTTTTCTTTTATCCCTCACCCTGGTAGTGTCCTCCAACTGCATTTCAGTGGTTCTGAGGTGTTTGGAGGAGCCTTCCTCCCTTCCCTGGGACTCAACGTCACTGTCTTTTCCTGTTCACCAGTCCACTGGAAGCTGGTGAGGCAGCAGCTGGGCAAGTCAGAAAGGTCCAATAGAGGTGAGCCCCTTCCAAAAGGCCCCACTCTGTCACCTCCAAACTCTGTCCAAATTTCTTAGGGCAAAACTGATGCTGGCATGTACTGTGCTATGCTCCAGATGGCTGGGGTATTTTTAGTCTTGGGGGAGGGACTAAAGAAGCAAGACCTGATAGCTCCAGCGGGCGTGTCTCCAGCTTCTAAGTTATGTAAGAGAGATGGAGCCACTAAAGGAAACTGTTGAACTGTTGCCTGGTTCATGGGCCTTTCAAGCCTAGAAGCTGATAGACATTTTACCCTTGAAAATCTCAGTAGGGTTAACAGTCTAGTTTATCTTTTTCTTACATAGCAAACTATCTGTAAGAGGATTGAACATTAATTGATGATCTCTAAGGAAAATTCTTAATGTTCCTTTTTAAGAATGTCATAAATATAAATTTTCCAAAATATAACTGAGGTCTTTGTTTCCTTCAACTCGCCTTCCTCCCTCCATGAAATGATTGCAACACTGAATATGCTTTTATATCTCTATACCTAATATGATATTTTTCTACTTGTCACTCCACCCATACCCTTGCCGTAATGTGGAAACAGGCATGCATTACTTCGGAAAAGTGGGTAAATATTTACAGAATAATGGTCAGAGAATGCAAGATTTTTATTCTTGAAATATTGTTATGAAACAAAAACAGATGGAGAATCTTTGGTGAGTTGACTGAATCCCAGTTCTCTATTGCTTGTACACATGTATACACAGTGTTGAAGTTTTATACTGGCTAGTATTGTTTGGGGTAAAAATGATGTTTTGATGTTTAAGACTAATGTAACATTAATGTCCTTTTTAGCATGTGACACACCTGATACCTATTTTGCCGGTAACAAAAACTCATCCCATCATAAAAATTGTAGTCTTCTTTTGTTACCTACTGATTTCCTTCCATTTACTCCCTTTCATTGTGTATTTATTAAGATACTGGAAGAAAAAGAGGAAGCAGAGCTATTGGCAATCTCAGCAACTCTAGTACTTACATTGTTCAATAAACTTAATAATCTTCATGGACTAATTCTGACTTATGGATGTGCTCCTTCAGTAAATCAGGGCGATTTTCTCTAGTGAATAACAGATGAGCGCAGTGTGCCAGTCCCTTAATTACAGAGTGGCTCTCTTCATCTTGATCTCATTTTAATTTACAGAGTAATACTACAATAATATCACTAATGGAAGGTACATTAAAGGGCATCAAGTAGCATTAACTGTATTAAATTATGGTACTTGTGTTAATTAACTGCCGAAGCAAGATGGTTCTAATGGCCAAAAAGGTCGTCTAATGCATAAATAAAATCCACCCAAATGAGAGGTGAGAGGAGAAATGAAGAGTAGATGTTTGTTCTGAACATCTCTTTGTACTGACCGGGAGTTAAACACATGAGCTGTTAAATATAATGTCCAACATGTTTTGTCAGTTATACATGGAACGTCTTGATTTTTTAAAAGATTTTTATTAAAATATAGCTAATATACTATGTTATATTAGTTTCAGGTGTACCCCATAGCTATTCAACATTTATATCCCTCAAGAAGTGATACCCATGATAAGTCCAGCAACCAACTGATACCATTGTGATATGCTATCACAATATTATTGACTATATTCCCCATGCTGTACATAATATCCCCATGCCTTATTTGTTTTATACCTGGAAATTTGGACCTCTTTTTCCTTTTCACCTTTCCCCCTTTTTAAAAATTTTTCAATTAGAGTTGACATTCAATATTATTTTATATTCATTCAGTGTACCACATAGTGGTTAGACATTTCTATAATTTAAGAAGTGAGCCCCCTGGCTAGTCTAGTACCCATCTGTCACTATACATAGTTATTACCATAGTATTGATGATATTCCCTGTGGTTTACTTTATATCCCATGAATATTTTATAACTATCAGTTTGTACTTCTTAATCCCTTCACCTTTTTCACCCTGCCCCCCACCCCTTCCATCTACACCCCAACAAATCTAGTACCCATCTGCATCATCCAGTGTTATTACCATATTATTGACTATATTCCTTATGTTATACCCCACATCCCTATTATTACTATGTAACCGACAGTTTGTACTTCCTAATCCATTCCCTTTTGACTCACCCCCAGTACCTCCCCCACCAAAACCTGGCAACCACAATATGTTCTCTGTATCTATAAGTTTGTTTCTGTTTGCTTATTTTATTCTTCAGATTTCACATATAAGCAAAATCACCTTGCATCTGTCTTTCTCTGTCTGACACTCCACTCAGCACAATACCTTCCAGGTCCATCCATGCTGCTGCAGATGGCAAATACCCATTCCCTTCCATGATCAAGCAATATTCCATTGTATAAATGTACCACCTTCCCTTTATCCATTTTTCCATCGACCCAGGGTGCCTCCAATCTTGGCCATTGTAAACAAGGCTGCAATGAACATATGGATGCACATGTCCCCTCGAAGTAGCATTTGGAGCTCTTCAGATAAATACCCTGAAGTGAGATTACCAATCCTTCCTTGTCTCCTGTTATAGCCTTGTTTTAAAGTCTGTTTCATCTGGTATAAGTATTGCTACTCTAGCTTTTTTTATTGTTTGTTTGTTTTCTTCATTTTTATTTTCATGAAATATCTTTTTCCATCCCTTTACTTTCTGTCTGTGTGTCTTTCAGTTGGAAGTGAGTCTGTTGTAGACAGCATATGTAAGGATTTTCTTATCCATTCAGCCACCCTATGTCTTTTGAGTGGAACATTTAATCTATTT